TGACAGAATACCGGTGAGAGGGACCAGAAGGGAATTCGTGCGGTTGAATTCCTGCAAAGTATGCCGTGTCCGCTTGACCATGCATATATTCGTGACCAAGGCAAACTAAGCACTCGCTTGGTTATGCGAGGAAGTCAAATTGAAACAAGCTTTATGCATCCGAAGAGTGAATTGTCAGCAATTTTCTCGGGAATACAGTGGAAACAGGAAAAAACGCAAAGGAAGAGGTAAGCAAAACGAGAGCACACTGTGAGCAATAAGAGGATAGTTATGGTTAAAAAAGTGACTCAAGAGATATTTCACCAAACTTACAGTAACTGGTGCTCGGTTCAATAAAACTATTAGAGAGGATACTGTTTCTGTATATCTTGGTCCGTGCATAAAGAAGCTTGTAGCAGGAGCGGGTACGGAAGTTAGATCCGGATTTGAAAAGTTCTTTGTGCAAGCAGTGATCTTCAAGATTATTTTCAGCAGCTGTTTCGCCAATTTTTCCCATAGGTGAGAGGATGTTACTGGAAATAATAGCAGAACCAATCGGTGTATTGGTTGAACGCCACCTAACAGCGACCCTCCAACCAGCCAGTCCTATTCCCTTATTACTCAATCGGTTGTAGCGACTTCTCACACAATGTCACGTGCGATAAAACGCAGTGGTGTCAAAAATCTGTGGCCATAGGACAGTACTTGTCGTTCAAAACTGAATGAATTGAATCCATTTTGTGTGCCGTGAAGAAAACGAAGTTTTCCACTTCAAAATCGCGAAATATATTTCGATGGTAGCGAAGGCACAGCCGAGCTCCTCCAAGTTAGATACCTGAAAGGAAATGATTGTTGACGGGACCGAAGACATCCCGGTGTGGCTTAGGAAAGCGCTGGAGGACAAATTATCATCGATTAAACAACGCCCTTTTTGAATAGATTATCGGTTGCCGGCCGATCATTTGTGGCTGATACGTAAAAATTTATTTACAAATAATAATGGAACATGCTATCCAATGTAGCTTTTGGGGGATATGGGGCAGCAGCAGCAGCTGAAAGTAACGTCACTGTAAATGCAGCATATGCATAATAATGTCCGGCACAAGGCTTACTACGCGCAGAGAGCAGCAGTGAACGACTTAACTTGGAACTCTTGAATGTGCGCGTAGTGCCAGACGGGAGTAGCCATGGACAGGCAGACGGGGGCTGATGATCTTCAATACAGTTACCCATTGGCCATCGAACGCTGAGTGGTGGAAGAAGGGCAGCAACTAACACATTCACGGTACAGGTCTGGATTTGCAGATGCGGTCGGAACAAGGCGTCAACCCATACTATGGTTGGAATAAGAAACGAATGTGTGAATTTAAGGGTGGTCAGAAAGGGCATGGTGAATTTAACGTGCGAAAGTAAGAACGATTAGAAAACGGATGGCAAATAAGTCTGGGAATGTAACTATGGGAACAATAGGTAGAGTAGTCAGTAAAAGTATCATTTGATAACCAGAGGGAATCAGCAGCTCAGGAGGTCACTTCATAGCTTTCCCATTTGATTTGTATCCCTGATCAGCCCCATTGATTGCTCTCTTCCCGAAAACGCTTTGTGCAATCATTTTTGTTTTGTTTTTCGAGCACTTCGAAGATCGTATGAAAATAGGCTAACTTTAATGTAATTATATTGTGCTGACAATTTTTTTCTACTGGGTTCTTTCTAATCAACCAGATACATGTTTTTACGGACCAACGATGCGGTCCTGATAAACCGCAATCAAACTACATACGTTTCGATTGGCGGGCATGCAGTGGACGAGCGATTTTTTCACATTCGCACGATGTGCCCTGGAGCCGTGTAAAGTGGAGCGTAGATTTCGATCAATTATCCCTCAAGTGTTCCGTTGGCCGTATTCCGCCGCACCAATCATCTGACTTTTCCATTCTATGGCCATCTACACATTTGACATGCAATGGAATGTTTCGCTTGGCCAGTTGTACGCATAGCTCTCCGTGTACGCATTTTCTCACGGATACAGACTTATTCATCACTCTGGATAATGGACTGCACATTCATCTACCGATAGAGGACCAAACAGTTAGCACGCTGCGTGCCCTACTCCACAACTATGCGCCTAAACAGTCCGGACTATTCGAGTCAAAACCATTTGATCGGCCTGTTCCACTCAAATCACACTGTGAGCAATGTGCAGGGATGGCACCGATTTTGTTCCGAGATGAGTTGCGTGCGTACGAGCTATCCAGTCCACCAGTTGGCGAGCTCACTACATCGATCGATTGTCACCCCTGCTGGCCGTGGACAAAATTCGGTCACTCCGGATCCCCCGATCAATCACCACTCGGTCCACATCCATGGCCGCGACCGGGTGAGCTAGTGTTCTGTGATAATTTGAAAAACGAATTTCACGCATCCCCATCTTCCCCGGCAGTTCCGTTGGAGTCGAGCACAACCAATGTGGACAGTCATTGGATCGGGATTAGTTGGTGCTATCCGGAACCGCGAACACCCGTTCACATTCGTGTTTTCCCCGTCCCTTTCGGGTTTGTCGAACGTTATCGTGAGGATCAGATTGCGGACGGACTGCAGGTACATGTCTCTTCTGATGATAACCGCCTGACCTGTGATTCATCTAATCCGTTCGTTGATCTGAGTATTTGCTTTCCTGAGTTACCTGAATTTCATGTTGAATTTGCTCGCACTACGTACATCAGTCTGATGAACGGCAGGGTTTGTTGAAACCTTTCAACATCCATACGAACTGATAACCTGTACTCCGAGTTTTTTTGTGGTAGACTCCACAAGATGGAAAAGCTGTTTTACTGCAAACATCGATCGCTGTCATATGTCGGTCCTCATGTGAAAGAGCAACCGCATCAGAGCACTCGCAACCGTTAAACCTACGCGTTGCTATACACGATTCGACGAGGTCGAACAAGGATCAGCATATCCCATAGACACGGGATTCCCCTCGTTTGCAGTTGTGAATACACGTAACTCGATTGAGTTTCCTGAACGTGGTCTATCGTGTTCCGTTTAACCAGGGAATCGCCTACTCTGAACACGTTCACTTTTTTATTTTCTCCTCATCCGGTGTGTATATGCTGACAAATGTATAATGGACCTCCACTTTAAGTGGTTCTTTCATACATGCCTGTTTACTCATCACTAAAACCAACCCTTTTTCTCAATATATTGTAGCTCCCCTGTCAGTTGCAATACTGGGATCACACTCGAACCCCAAAAGGACAATTTGTGACCTACGCCACCTTCGGTCTTCCAGACAGCCAGATTNCGACGGTTTCCTCAGACCGTCAGGACTTCATGTTCAGAACAGGGTGATTTGGAATCGATTCTGGACAAGGCTATCCACGTGGCAACCACCGAATCGGACACAAAATCTGGTCGTATTCAAGCTGGACTGATTGCCGCTGAGTCTCTCAGTTCAGATGTTCAGGATTTTAACTTGTCTACCGGGAATAGTCGTGTTCTTGCCGAACTTTGGCGAATTTTGGTCGACCTAAGAGCACAACCATTCAAACAATCGCTTAATTCGTAAGTTCGTTTTTTTCAATATTTGTATTCAAATTTAATGTTTGTTATGCATCACCACGAACTAGTGGCTGTCTAATGCTTGTTCACTTCATACTAAGTGAACAAAGCAGCGATGGATTTTGTATCATTTGGATACTAATATTTTAGCTTGAACCGAGTTCGTCTACAGATTTAATCGTCATGTATGCTTTACCGTGATTTCACTTGGTGATCGCCTAGGTAAAAGGCCAATCGAGTGTCCCACATGTGATCATAACGTTCTACTGATAAACCGATCACAGTTTAATTTGGTCATTATTTTTCGTTTTTCACGCTCCCTCACAATCCTAATTGGGTTATCTGCATCGGAATGCTCTTGTTCACATCGTTACCTTTATGCTGATCCGAGTTTGCCAATGCATGGTACCAAGAGTCCCTTATTTTCGGGGAATGATGTGTGTTCGTTTGGATAAACCTAGAACATACGATACAGTAAAGCAGATTCCCTTTTGTGGAATCAACTGGTGCGAATCGTTCTTTCCTCTGCGGCCACTCTCAATCGTATGAGTGCCACAGGGAGATAGAAATGCTTTACACCTTCATGCAGTTCTTCGGCAAGGTGGTCACTCGTTTAACCATACCCGATTCAATTGTGGTTCAAGGGAATATTGTTCATCACTCTGTCTACTTGGGTCACACGGATCCTTACGAGGAGAAACAGTAGATAGATTCTATTCGGGGTGGGGGGGTACCAATTTGCAATTTGAAGATTTCCATCGACTAGAAGTTCTCGACTATCGATATTTACATAGTTCGGTGCACATGAGATGGAGTAAACGGCTTGATAATCTGGAGGTAAGTGTTCGGGAGTTTATCCGGGATTAAGCTGCTAGTGCATCAGACTCCGATTTGTAGAATTCACTGGCTATTGCACGTATTGTGTATGCCCAGTTGTCGTCTGTCGCGCCGCGCTTTATTCACTGTAGCCTCTCCGGGTTGGAAATCAACAGCCTGAAAAATGCATGGAGCGATCATGTAGAGTAGGTGTCGCTCGTCTTCTGGGTTGAGGTCCAAAAGAGTGAAGTTCGCTTCCCCATATTTCATTGTGCGATGACCGGCATTAATTAGGAATAAAGGAAGAATTGTTGTGTGAGCAATCTTTTTTCCTCTTCGGAGCTTGTAAGCACCGGGCGTCACGTGTCCCTTATTCAGTTCATGCTACGCAACATTTATTAGAAACGTCCGAAGAAACCAGGCACTCCTGATCAATGGTCATCATTCAGATTGCTGACTGTAACTGTTTCATCTGAACAAACTACTACGTTCCGCGTCCACACATTAGTTCAAAGTTTGTACGTCACTCATAATATGCTTTGGTAGCACTAGGGATGTAAATACACGTATCGGAGCCAAACCAAGATGGTTCACCGCTTTGGCACACAACTATCCAGCTGTTGCTCACCATCTAATCACGACCTTAGTATGACATCCTTGTGTGATAAACACAGACAAGGTAAACGCCAGACCCTTTTGTGATTTCACATTTTTCTCAGGGTCGAGTTGAACCTAACCAAATTGTATATACGAAGCACTTCTCGAAAAAAAAATGGATAATAGTAATAATAATTGCAAACAGTATTATTCTGATATTCTGTATCGTTTTATTCAGTAGATGGTTTAGCAATTAATTTCCATAGGAAGAAAAGCAATCAGTCAAGCTCTGTCATGCGGTGACAGAAAGGGAAAATTAAGACCTCTCTGGTAGGATTCGGTTAAACGACCGCCGCCACCCAAATAGCATCAGTGAAGTTTCTAATTTTTCTTTTTCTGTACCTGTAGAATTAAGTCGCGTTACCATTTAGTACACGTCTTCAGGATTGAGGGCAGAGGGCAGGGTGCCCGTGTAAGCCCCATCACCACTGGGTCGAAGGTCCGATTACAAGTGTTCGTTCCTCCATAACCCCTTCAGGTGCTCATCCAGACGCCGTTTGAAAGCAGCGTCTGTCTTCTCTTCCACCACAATCGCTGGAAGGGAATTCCAGAGTGTTGTTGACCTACGCGAGAGTCGGTAGACTAACAGAAGACCAACTGACTGAAGTTTCCGCAACGTGAGAGAGTGCCCCCGCGTGCGGTGCTCTTTTCGTAAAGGGAAGTACTGTTGCAGCTCTGGGCCCATATCACCTCTCAGGATCTTCCTTGAATATATATTTTCATTCTTTTTCATAATTCTATCTATTCTATCTATTCACTTCATCTAACAGAACTTGAAAGCATTATTCGAACTTTTTTGCTACCATTTTATATTTCTACTTTGCCGGCTATCTGTTTTCCAAGTGCATTTAATGAGATACTCTGTTCATTCCCTCTCTTCAGTAGTTCTCCTACATCAAACGGGACTGTACTCACATCAGTCATTACAGATCAACCAGTCGCACTGGTCTACATCTCTCCACTCATGCTGGCTGGCAGTGTACAACTGGATTCGATCCTAAACTTGTCACTAGTACCACAATTAGCACCATCCTGTCATGTGTTCTGTCCTGTTGTTCGTTTGTCACTCGCACAAAAAGTAAGTTTATCGTCCTTTGTCGCTGTTCTTTCCATTTCAACGACCGTAGACTGCTAAACCAAACCCCAATTCGCTGATCTGAACACAATGTGTTCTGCTTCTTAGTCCCATGACAACAGTGGCCCCCCCAAGTACAAAGTACAAAGTACTTCAAAAATTGTTATCCCTTGAGACCGCTCATTCTGGTGCCTCATCAGACTTATCAACAACTTGTGAACATTATTCCACGGTTTGTGGAAGTGATTTCAATTAGTCGTTTCGTGCATCTCAACGGGTGGATAGTTAGCAGCCATGTTGCGAAATGATCCGTTGGTGGTCGGTCTGAAATTCGAATCTTCCGCCTGATTACTCGTCATAATTTCATACACATTTGTGAATTGCATTGTGCGAGCACTTTGTAAGGATAATCCATACCTATTGATGCACTCCCTTTCTCTTTTCACTTCGTCATGCACGAAGTACATGGTCGCCAGTTTTTCCGCATTTATCTTCCTATTAAAAGCGGGAATGAGTTAGTCTTTATCCGTAAGATTCAATAACATTCGTTCTAACCTGGAGACCCGTGAGTGTTGGTATGGTCCTTGCTCTCATGTACGTACAGGGTTGTCTCTATGTGTGTATTCGCTCGCACAGACACACCTGTACAAATACATATGCGGCGAACACTCTACCGACTTGCTTTGATCTTTCATACATCCAATTCCCTTGACAAATTTCATAACGGCGAGGAAGAACAACATTTCAGCAGGATAACATGAATTCAGTTATTTCGGGTACTCTCAATCAGCTGCATACGTACAATGGCAATCAAGGTTAAACATCAACAAAGACATGACAGGTTATGGGACAAATGAACACACCAATTGGGCCAATCACAGGACAGGGGCAGAGGTCAAACAGTCAACCACGGCGAGTGAACACATAACTGGGGTCAATCCTACCAGGGTAGGGCAAGACTGGCCACAAAGTCTAATTGTTTACACAAATTGGGTTTAAGTCGTCGAATGGCCGAGGCTTCAGCAAACTGAAGTAGACGGTGGTGTTGTTGTCTACTTATGATCCTAAAGGACTTGCTAGGCTCTTCACACAAGTTGCAGTCTAACACGTGTTGAGAAATAGAGCTTTTGAGAACTTTATTTCCCTTCAGCGCCAGATTCTTCGGAATGTGTTCAGAAATCCTTACGGACAGCCTTCTCTCAGTTCGTCCAACACACTT